TACGCTGTGGGTTATGGATGAGAAGTTGAAGCTCAGCGAGATCAAATGCTTTGCCCACAGTCATACAACTAGCCCCAGGGTCAAAGCCGAGATCAGCTCTGCTGGCTCTTTGAACCCTAGTTACATTGGTCTTTTTTGGAGATTCATCTGTTTATGCAAGGTGCCGCATCATCTGCGCAGGTAAGCAGGACAGAGGAGTGAGCTCAGTGCTCTGCGTGATGAGAGGCACTCTCACTAGGGAAGTGAGTTCTAGCCCCGTCCTCCTCCTATAACTGCGTGCCCCACTTTGCATTGGGGCTTTGATGAGTGAGGCCTCTTCGGAGGCTCCTCCTTAACCCCACTGCCCTCAACCAAATTGAGAATGGTTCCTCCTGAACACCTTTCAGGGTCTTTGGGTGCGCAGGGCTCTTCCTCTGTTGCTCTGTGCTCAGAGCAGGTGTTCCAGGTCTAGGAAGCTCGTTCATGGGCCTGATGTTCCCAGTCTCACAACATGGCATGGAGTAGGTGGAAAGAGACTTTGAAACTCCATTGTTATTTAAATGGTCACCTACAGCAACCCCCACTCCAGCTTGGAATCCTAGCACGTTGTCTCTTTATCTAAGAGCATCTAGTGACTGGATTACAGTTCAGTGCTCTGATTTGACAGACTGGGTAACTGAGCCAGCAGCCACGTGGCTAGGGGCAGAGCTGGGACTGTGACACAGGTAACATAGGTGTCCTGCAGGGTGGTGCTCCCCCTCCCCCCTCCAGAGATGCTGAGCAGGGAGGAAGTGAGTTTCTGAATTGTGATTCGTTGTGCATATTGTTTTCCATCTCAGAAAGTATTTACCAAGCAGCTGCTTGAGATGAAGCTGAGTAGACACATCCCTGCCTTTTCCGTTCCAAGTATTTGCAATTTAAGCCATCACTGGGACAGAGATAAGGGGGATAGTCATCATACCTGTTCAGGTGCTTCTTCTGTGGTGTGTATCAGCATTGAGTTAAGCTAAGGAAACTGAAAGGAACGGTGAGGAGCATTTTTCCAGAAATGGTGGATTATTCCTTTGAGGGGAGACTTCTGGGTTGGGTTGGGTTTTAGAACTGGCTAAAGAGAGGAAGGTAGTTCCCTTCCACTGTGTCATTTTGGAGTCGCCGTAGAGAAATAAGTGAGGCTGGACAGAGACCCCGAGGAGGTTTACAGGAGGAGGGGCTGCAGCTTTGCGAAGTACGACATGAGGTCGAGCGGGGCAGCCAGGGACAGGCACTCCAACTAAGAGGGCAGATCGTGGATTGAACCCACGATGTGGCTGCAGAATGTTCCGTTTGCTGTATGAAGGGAGCTGGCCACATCGTGGTGAAATGAGTCTGTGCTGCAGCCTGAAAATCATCAAGAGTTTGACAGGGACGGAAGATGGAAGCCCAGTGGGCAGGAAATCGTTCAAATGGAGTAAAAGCAAGCGAAGGCTGCAGCTGGCTGGATAAAGCGCAGAGACTAGATGAGAGACTTAGCAGTCACAGATGTGTGCAGGGCTTTCTTGTACAGCCGTGAAGAAACCCAAAGAGGACGGCATGGCGAGTTTCATGTTCTGTCTTTCCAAATGAAGAGATGGCGGTTTCTGGAGAATAAGAAATCAGCAGGGTTGGCTGTTGAAACCTGGTCTTTGAATTCAGCTTTCTCTACACTTCAAGCCCATTGCCGTTGAGTCGATTCTCACTATAGCGACCCTATAGGACAGGGTAGAACTGCCACGTAGGGTTTCCAAGGCTGTAATCTTTATGGAAGCAGACTGCCACATCTTTCTCCCTCCGAGTGGCTGGTGGGTTCAAACTGCTGACCTCTTTGGTTAATAGCGGAGCGCTTAACTGCTGTGTCTCCAGAGCTTCTTTCTGTGCACTTAGCTACTGTAAAAACAAACGGCAAGGTTTCACAAAAGACTTTGGAGCAGTGCTGTGTTAAAAAGCCAGATTTGCAATTCGAAGAGCGTAGTCAGTGTCACTGAACTGTGCATATAGAAATTTTCGAAATGGTGTATCTTTGGCTATGTGTATTTCCACCAAAAAAAAAAAGAGGTTGAGGAGTTAGAGGGTTGATATGTTGTGGGGTTGTTAACCAATGTCATAAAATAACATGTGTACTTCTGTTTCGTGAGGAACTATTTGTTCTGTAAGCCTTCACCTGAAGTACAATTTAAAAAAAAAAAAAAGCCAGATTTGCTTTCATATCTATGATGAAGAAGTTTTGTTTTTCTTTCCCCCTCTTGGGGGCATTGGAAGTGGTGGGATGAACAGGTCAGTCTCTGGCATTTCATAAACAGAGACGCCCAGAGCCTTAGCAGGCACCCAGCCCCCCAGGGAGGAGGACGCACGCCCGGTCAGGAGCTAATTTGGAATGTCAGTTACTTTAAGCCAGAGTTCCAGAGCCTGAAGGTCATTTCTAGGGCACTCAGTGCTCTTTCTCTTTTATTGTGAAGGAAACCATGTACTTGAAGACAGGTGACGCGTTTTGGGAAGGTTAACATTTTATATCATGGGATTTAAAGTTAAACATCAAAGGCCTGGCACTCAGTTTTGTTTGTGTTTGTTCAGCAAGAGTCCCTAGCAGGGTCTGCCAGCACTGGTGTCAGCTCCAAGACAGGCCCGAGGACACCGGGTGGGGGCTCTCTCCTCAACGGACCACAAGAGACTGTCTTTTCTAGGACTGTGGAGAATTTCAATACTTGAAACCGAGGGTTGCCAGGAGCTACAGCTGGCAATTCTACCCTTTCTTGTATCCAAATTTCAAACTTCCAGAGCCTAAAGAGTACCAGCTCCAACTCAGCACATGGAAAGCCAAGCCCCACTCTCCAGCCCCTCCCGCTGCCAGCCTTACCACGCAGGAAGCTTGCCCCCGGCTATTTCCTGCCTTCCGTAGGGCGACTGTTCTGCTGTTCTAGTTCAATCAGATCCCTGGGCCAACTGGCCAAGGAGCAGGACACAGGCGCAGGCAGCCAGAGGAGGCCCGGGAGCTCCTTTGCTTTGCATTGGTAATTTCAACCCCCTTTTCAGGTGTGCACACCTGAGAGGTCACATTTCTACCTGGACACACACTTCAGCTGGTGGGCCGTGGGGAGCACAATTCTCTCTGCTGGCTGTAGCTTGCCCTGGGTGTGCCCAGAAGGCATCATGGAGTACAAGGGAGTAGAGGGGGCTAATTTTATAAAGATAACCCTGAATCTGCTCAAATTCATATTAAAAATCAATCATTCACAACTTTGGCCTAATGGTCTCCGTTGGTAATAAGTTACTTGATACTCAGCATTCCACTAAGTTCTGGGACAGCTGTACCGTGTATGGACGGCACCATGTGGATGGCACCATGCGTTGGATGGTACCATGTGTGGATGGCCACCAGGGAGACACTTTCTCGTAACTGTTGTGGCTTCTCTCTCTCTCAGGTGGTTAAGACTATTGGCCTTCGGGAAGTGTGGTACTTTGGCCTCCAGTATGTGGATAATAAAGGATTTCCTACCTGGTTGAAACTGGATAAAAAGGTAAGTCGGGGTTAACTATTTACAGGTTGTTAATTGGGTGTTGGTCCCTCCCATTGACATTGAAACTTGAGGACTTTAACTCTGTCTTTTGTTTTGTTCCTTTTTATTTGTGTAAAAGTTTGAACAGACAAAAAGGTTGCAGGCTTCCGGTAAGCAGAGGTATTGGTTGGGAGTAGATCCTGGCCTTCCTCCTTACAGCTTGCTTGTTGGCACAGTATGGTGGTATTTGCTGAGCTAGTAGTTGACCTTAGGGTTTTTTGCTGCCCACCCCACCCCCCCACAGTGAGATTGTTAATCTTATAAACCATGACTCATCCACTGTTTTGTAAGAGCCTGTTATTGCTGTTTGAACCTGCAGTAGATTATCTTTCAATTCTGAAGACTGGATAATTCCATACAGCGATGCTAATGAAAAGCAAGAAACTAAATGTTTTCTCCAAACTCTTTGAAAAACTTCCCCCAACCCCCAGCCTTCCCCACATTACTACACAAGTCAGGAGATCCCCTGGGATGTGAGAGTGGAGGAGAGTGGGGAGTTACTAGAAGTAAGTTCCGTGGTCCAGGGCCAGCCTCTGGCCATGTGGATGGACTCCCGGATCCCAGGGTGTTGGGTGAGGTTGGCCCTAAAATTCGAGTTTCTCTGGAAATGATGGTATCGACCCTAGAAAATGGGGGCCGGGCCTAGTGGCTATTGGCTGGAATTCCCACAAAGTGTAGGACTTTTGACTGACTTCTTTTGTCTACATGCTAAAAAGGCTGCTCTCAGAATAAATACTATCTTCTGAAAACTGGCCTGAGGGGCCCTTTTGAGTCTGTGGTTAGTCACCTGTGTCTGGGAAGGTGAGGATTTGTCTACTGAACCTGTAACGAGAGTTTGACTTCTGTTTGTGGCCCAGGTGTCTGCCCAGGAGCTCAGAAAGGAGAGCCCCCTCCAGTTCAAATTCCGCGCCAAGTTCTACCCGGAAGATGTGCCTGAGGAGCTCATCCAGGACATCACCCAGAAGCTCTTCTTCCTCCAAGTGAAGGAAGGGATTCTGAGCGATGAGATCTACTGCCCCCCTGAGACTGCGGTGCTCCTGGGGTCCTATGCGGTACAGGCCAAGTTTGGAGACTACAACAAAGAGATACACAAGTCTGGGTACCTCAGCTCCGAGCGCTTGGTCCCCCAAAGGTGAGCAGAGGGTGGCCAGCATGGTGCACGAGCGGTTGTGGCACACTCTCGACACGCACGCGGTCAGGTTAGAAGCAGCAAGGACGGAGAGCACAGCACCTGGTCAAGGTTAGGTGCTCCTTTAGGCTGGCCTCCAGTCACTCCCTAATCTGGGTTTGTAAAGTCAAGTGCTCCGATGTCAGGAGATACTGACCCGGCACCCTGTTCTCCCCTAAGCCACTGATGATTGACCTGAACGTTCTAGTAGCAAATATGACCAGAGAAGAAGAGCCACCATTCCTTCTGAAAAATGGAGCACGACTATGTTACATGAAGATACCTTAACGTCATCAGGCTTCCTATGTCCTGACTGCTTGGCTCTTCCTGGTATATAAGAGTCTTGCCCCCCAGAAACCTGTTTTTATTTACTAGTGGTCACATGAAGCCCTGGTGGTACAGCAGTTAAGAACTCAGCTGCTAACCAAAAGGTCAGCAGTATGAATCCACCAGCTGCTTCTTGGAAACCCTATGGGGCAGTTCTACTCTGTCCTGTAGGGTTGCTATGAGTTGGAAACAACTCAACGGCAATAGGTTTTTTTTTTTTGGAATGGTCACATAAATTACCCTTTTTATGTGTGTGTGTGGGGTTGGGGGAACCACAGTTGCCATCAAGTCGACTCTGACTCATGGCGACCCCATGTGTGTTAGGTTTTTTTAGGGCTGACTTTTCAGAAGTAAGTTGCCAGGCCTTTCTTCCAAGTTGCCTCTGGGTGGAATCGAACCTCCACTCTTTTGGTTAGCAGCCAAGCACGTTAACTGTTTGTACTACCCAGGGACTCCTTTTGGAAGAAGAGGCCCCTTAAATGAAACACCTTTATTTTCATTTTTAAAAACAGAACTAAGGGTTGCTCATTCGAGCTCTAACCCTTTCAAGTTAAGTGGGCCTCAGCAGAAATGCTGCCGATTGGGAAGTGGAAACAAAGCTCTTTGTGAGTGGTCGTTTGAAAGGAAAGCAGACATCTGCACGTGCGTGGGGCGGTGGGTGCCCTCCGTGACACGTGTGCTCTGCTTCTGCTCCCAGAGTGATGGACCAGCACAAGCTCACACGGGACCAGTGGGAGGACCGCATCCAGGTGTGGCATGCCGAGCACCGCGGGATGCTTAGGTGAGCGCCCAGGTCTTCCTGTCCTGTGACTCCAGCTGGGGCTTCCTGGGGGGCTGGCTCCACAGGCTGTGGACCGAAGTCCAGGCTTGCTGCCTGATCAAGTATTACAAGTTAAAGAAGCTGGAAGTGGTTTTTTTTTCCCTTAAGCAAAGCCGGGTGCTTATGCCTGGAGTAATAAGCAAATGTATTTAAGTCATCAGGTCTCAAAAGCTTTCTCCCTTCCTTGTTTTAGGGAAGAAACAGTCTGTGTATAAAACTCTTCATTTTTAGTCAAGAGGGAGCACTATTGACAAGCGACCAGAGCATTGTTTTTCTTTCCTCTGTCAGAGAGATGCTGGTCTGCTCACTGTTTATGAGGTAGCCACCATCAAAAGTGTGCACAAGTGAAGGAACAGTTCATCCTAAGTGAGAAACAATGACATTAAAGAAGCAGAAACAAGCATGAAGGAGGGGGGTCTGTGACATGGAGCCACGTGGTGTGAGAAACCCCAGACTTCCTGATGCTGGGAGGTGGTGTTCAAGAGCGCCTCGTCTCAGACCATCCCCATTGTCACAGCCTCAGATGTTGGCTCGCAGCTTGGGCCTCAGAAGTGTTTTGCTCTTTAGAGTTTCCTGTCTGACCCAGACAACCTTTGTGGAGGTGGAAATAGTGCAAAGTCTTTGACGCTGGTGACGGGTCAGGCAGGAGGCGGAGCCCCTGAAAGCACGCATAGGCCCGAGAAAGATCATGTCTCGTGCTGACTTTAAAAAGACAAATCTCCCGTCTCCAGAGAAACCAATGTGAGCCAGTCAGCACTTTTCTTTCAGAACAGGTAAAGTGAGCCCGTGTGGCGAGTGTGGGGCAGGATGGCCTTGTTCAGGCCATAGGGCTGTTACCTGGTCCTCAGGTCTGCTGACCTGACGGCCCTGAGCCTGGCCTCTGTGAGCATCCAATCCCAGAAGGTCAGGGAACAGCACCTCTGAGCACACGGCTCTCAGCACATCCTATGCCACTTTTTTTTTTTTTTTTTTTTTTTTAATTTTTTAAATAATATTATGTTTTCAGTGAAGATTTGCACAGCAGCTTAGGTTCCCATTCAGCAATTTCTACACAAATTGTTTGGTGACATCAGTTACATTCCTCACAATGTGTGGATATTCTCATTATTTCCGTTCTGGTTGTTCTGTTTCCATTAATCTGGTTTCCCTGCACCCCTTACATTCTCTCCTTTGTTTTAAAGCGCCATTTGTTTTAAATTTAAAATATTGCAGGAGGTTTTCTTGTCTTTGCTAAAGAGCGCTACTAATGATCGTTCCTGCCTGATGTCCCCAACTAGAGACAGCGCTATGCTGGAGTATCTGAAGATCGCGCAGGACCTGGAGATGTACGGAATCAACTATTTTGAGATAAAAAATAAGAAAGGAACAGACCTGTGGCTGGGAGTTGATGCCCTTGGGCTGAACATTTATGAGAAAGATGATAAGTGAGTTGAAATTTGATGATTCCCTTTTGTTGGTGGGGTAGTGGGCCTGGGAAACAGTGGGAAAATTGACAAACATGCATGTGGCTTACTTTCTGAAGTCTTTATTGAGCAACTTACCAGATGTGAGTCTGAGGGCTTTTGGCTAGGGTGGGGCCCTCTGGGAAGTGGGCCCCAGGTGGGCGTTTGTCTTCTGTCCCCACAGCCTGTTCAGTAGGTCATGTAGCCTGGTGGGAAGTAACAGCCAAGGGCCCCACAGAGTAAAAGCATCAGGGGCTGCATAGAGCCTGACGCAGGTGCAGGAGGCGGAATGAGGGCTGCAGCTGTGGGAAGATGCCCCCTTCCCTCCCAGTGAGGCCCAAGTCCCTGTACCTATAGGCACATGGCTTCTACACAGATCCAGGCCCTCGGGGCTGGAAGCTTGCACTAATTCAGCCAAGCCGGGAACTTCCAGATTCTGTAAACAACAGCCTTCGTGGACAAACACTTCAGCTAAACCCTCTGAACTTGGGTGCACCACGTGTATGATCTTCACTGTGTGAATTGAGGCTTGCCCATGCAGGAGCGTAAAGTCGTGCTGGGTGGGGTGGGGCAGGGCGGGCCCACCTTCACCTCCCCTGCCCATCCCCTGGTTACAAACGTGCATGTGTCTCTTTTCTGCCAAGGAGCTAGATAACAGGTCGCCCTTGAGTCCACCAGAGTCAGAGTAGAACTGTGCTTCATAAGGTTTTCAGGGGCTGATGTTTCAGCAGTAGATCACCAGGCCTTTCTTCTGAGGTGCCTCCAGGTGGACTGGAACCTCCAGCCTTTCAGTTGGCAGCCAAGCACTTTACCGTCTGCACGACTCAGGGACTCCAAGGAGCTAGATGCACGCACAAAAAAGTCCCCCTAATTCAGGGAAGACAGCGAAGATTTTCCTCAGTGGTTCCCTGCTTTCAGAGAAGAGAGCCTTGATTCTAGATACTTAGATCAGACACTTTCTGAATTCAAAAGGCAGTTGGAGAAGGGAGAGGTTCCTTAGTGTCTCTACTCCAAATGCCCGGCATTATGGCTCAGAAGAGCTCCCCCAGATGTCCCTTGGAGGCTGTTGGATGAGGGGCCGGTAAAGGGCAGGAGTCACTCCTGTCGGGGAGGACGCGGTGCAGCATGGCCTTGAGGCTGTGGGGTGCCCATGGGCTCGTACCAGCTGCAGGGCCAGGCCAGCCCACCTTTCCCGAGACCCCCTTGTGGCACACTATTCCTTAAGGCAGTGGTTCGCCCACACTTCCTGTCCGTGCCTCACCCCTTTTACCTTGTCTCCGATGTTACTGCTTGCAGTTCCCCACGCCCAGGCTCCCAGGCACCCCCTCTCTGGAATTAATGTGGGGAGTGGCAGTACTTTCCACAAACGGTGCTGTGCCCATGAAGGATCTATCGCTAGTCCCAGCCAAATGTATTCTCACCAGGCCCAAAGCACAGAGGTATTTCATTCGGGCAGGGCGGGGACCTGTGCGGAGACTTTTGGTCCCTCCACTTCGTGCCTATATGGTGACACAGGACCCCCAGTGGACGGCTGCTGCGGCCATAGGACTGGAGGTGTCTGCTGGGAGAAATGGCTCTGAGTGAACTGGATCCCTGAGGTGATGGCCGCGTCTCTGCTTACCAGAGACTCCCAGGAACTCTTCAGAGAAGCTGTTGTTAGTTGCTGTCAAGTCGACTGCAACTCCTGGTGACCCTGCGTGTCCAGAATAGAGCTGCTCCGTAGGGTTTTCAGGGCTGTTACCTTTCAGAAGCAGATTGCCGGCGCTGTTTTCTGAGGTGCCTCTGGGTGGGTTCAAACCACCAACCTTTGGTTAGTATTCGCGTGCTTAACTGTCTAGCCATCCAGAGTTGTGTGCTATTGACGTCGTCTTTCCCCCAACGACCAGGGTTGGCAAAGAGAGGTGAGTAGTCTGGGAAATACGAGAACTTCTGACTCAGATTCTAGGTCCTTCCTCGAAGCCTGAGCGGAGGATGGCAGCCTGTTAGTGCAGCTGTGCTAGGGGACAAGGCACACATTGGGGAACACACCACATCCCCTGGGAACGTCTGTGGGAACCCGCCTCGGTCTCTGAACCAGTTTCTTGAATGACCAAGTATTGTAACACAGCCAAGGCCAAGGCCGCCCAAACAGGTTTTTCAGGCTGCAAGAAACAGCATAGACGAGACTTTGCTGATGTCAGCTTGTAACTGCCCCCAGCCCACATAGATGTTCCTTCTTTCCGAGTAAAACTAGACCCAGTGCCCCATTCAGTCCTCTTCCCGCCCCTGTGCTCCTCTCCTCTCCTCAGTTAGCAGTGAAACTGGCGGTTCTCCAGTAGGTTTTCTCCTCAGAGCAAGCTGCCCTTCCTGCCTCTCTCTTCCTCGTCACTAAAGGTCCACTCC